CGTGGTATTTAAATACCATAAAAGCGAGTCAACGGTCTGTACTAAGCTCGAACAGTTCCTGCCTGATTCATATAACATACGATTGCTTTGACCCTGAACAGTAAACGCCAGTCAACACATCTACATAACAAAGTTCAATTAAACGCTTCGCAAAATAACCGATGACTTCCTTGTTTGTCAGCGTGATCTTTTTACGTGTTTAAATAATATTAAGAATACAATTCTCCACCAAGGTCACCTCGACCTTGTTTACTAGGAACCGAACGTGTCAGAGTATATTTTAATACTGATACGTCGCTTTAGGTATTAATATTATTATTATTTGCACATTTTTGTCGCGATGAACAAAGGCCGCGTTCGACGCGATTGCTTCCTCCTTTGAGATGCGAGTATTCTCTGAACTTTGAAAAAACTAAAAATGTACTAAACTAGTAATGAAATGTCTCGAATACAGAAGTTTGTGAAACATTTAAGTATATATTATATTAATGTAATTAACATAAGCATTAACCTGTAGTGATCGTAACATAGTACCTACTACAATGTATCGCTTATTATATATTTTGTTGTGTCGATAAATAGGATTTTATAAAAAGCACCAATTTATCTTTGCTATCCCTGTATTATCTTGAATGAGTGATAAATGCATTAAGGCCATACACAAAATGCACTATAATTATTATTTTAGTTATACATACACATATAAATTTTAATATTATATATATTTTAGTTATCGAATCTTGTACTGAGTTTGACCTAACAGGTACTATGGGGCTCACAAATTGGTATGTAATATTTATTAGCTATTTAACATAACAATGATATATGTTAATGACGTAGTATCGGATTTTTTATTGACCTCTGTTCTAATTACTTAATATATTTGTATCTACATTTCTCGACCAAAAACCCAAAACATCATATTCAAAATCAAATATTTCTAATCCCGAAACATAATTAGCATTACACGCTTTTGTAGATCATATACTCGTATGTGAAGACTTATGTGTGTCTGTACAATATTCACTATACATAGATATATTTATATATACCTGCAACAGAATATATGGTCTGCATTAGTAACCAAATTTGTTACCTAATCACAGATAAATATCGTATGACATTGATATATCCACCGTAATCAACTAAAACAACGTACAAACATTGAATGGAATGTGTGTCAAGATTACGGGCGGACCGGCCGAGAGCAATGCATCTGCTGGCCGAACGGGGGCGTCATTGTTACTGCTCGAAAATTAATTGGCCCGACCTAGCTCGTAAAAGCGTTGTAAAAAGTGTGAAGGCCTGGCGGAGGTAAGGACTCGTAAAGAGGTCAAGTGTAATGCTTCGTGTTCTACTGACCTCATTTAGAACCGAATGCCGCGTGCGCCGCGTCTGCTCGCCTTTCGATATTACTGCGTACGATTTCCGCGTTATATTTTAATCTGTTGTTAATACATGACCTGATTTTACAAGGGTACCTATTTACCTATTTAGAATTTTCAGTATTGTGAAACCAATACAATGTTCATAAACAAGGTAATGTAAATTATAACTTACAAACGAATTTTTTTTTTTCATGATTACATTTAGGTAATTTACCCTTATTCATTATAAATTCCTTTAAAGTAACGAAACAACTCCAAAATGTTGCCAGCTACTGCGGCTGTAGATAAGATATTGGTTTTGTATTGCCAAGAGAATTAAATTAATTAGCGATAATTCGAATATTTATATTCGGGATATAAATATCATATTTTTTTAATATCGGTCCATTGATAGAGGAGCTATGCTTGAACATACACAAAAAAATACTCATCCAAGCCTTCTCGTACCTTATTGCAAACGGTATTATTATTAAGGTAAATAATAAATTACTTAATATTAGTATTTAAACTTAAGTCTATTATTCCACTAATGACAAAATATTGATAAAACCTAAACCGGTTTTTTTCAATGTATAATTCGTCTCTTCTTATTAATTGTTTACGGTGAAGTGAAAAGAGAGGCATCAGTGCTTTAGTTAACACATGTATAGAAGAAATGATTTCAATTGTATGATTGTGTATGCATCCCAACTCATAAATTTATGATCCTATTGTTATGTACACTCTATCAAAGTTCTAATCATTGGTTAGGCAAACATAATTATCTACTTAGAAATACGTTAACTACTTAACTAGCGCGCATTCAATGTAAACATATGTATTATATTAGCTAGTTGTTGTCTCCCAGCGACTAAGTAAAGTAACCAATATAAACTAGCCCTTAAAACATAATACAGCAGTGTTGGCCTAGTGGCTTCAGCGTGCGACTCTCATCCCTGAGGTCGTAGGTTCGTTCGGCTGCACCAATGGACTTTCTTTCTATGTGCGCATTTAATATTTGCTCGAACGGTGAAGGAAAACATCGTGAGAAAACCGACATGTCTTAGACACAAAAAGTCGACGGCGTGTGTCAGGCACTGGAGGCTGATCACCTACTTGCCTATTAGATTGAAAAATGATCATGAAACAGATTCAGAAATCTGAGGCCAAGACCTAAAGAGGTTGTAACGATTGTACTTCAAAATTACGAATATAATATGATGGCCTAACTGGGGACTCAACATTAGAGCTTACCTAATCCCATCCCGCGCCTCTAAGGTCTGGATGTTCGAGGTATCGAGGCCAAGGTTTCTATGAATTATGGAGTATATGGCATTATTCAGGCGTAATGTATGTCAGTGTTTTATTTCGCGGTCAGAACTTTATTAATAGGTTTCGAAGGTTTCGGTTAACAAGGGGAGGTCACATACAGAGTTTGACTTCCGGGCTCGATGTTTAGATTAGTAATCAAGGATTTTTAATAACCTAAATTTCGTTCAATAGAATCATTTTTGTATTAATGTTTTTCAACTTAGGCGAATAATTAAATCACAAATTATTATCTGTATTTATATTGTATAAACACGGATTGATAAACAATGTATTAGTTATTGAAGCTCCTTCGATTAAATGTTTGGTATTTAAACTGAATCACTGATTTCTTTAAACGGCGTTGACACAATTTGACAGTAACCAAAAAAAATATATTTTTTTATGACTCTATTTTAGTTAAGGATCATAATGTATTTTTTTTTTGAATGTATTTTTTTTTAATGTATTTTTTTTTGTAATGATTCTACAGCTAATATAAATATTTGGGACGTGAACAAATCATACAACATGAGCGCATATTACACAAAAAATAATATTGTGAATGAATCCCAAGGGCTAATATAATCCAAGTGCTTGACAAACTAAGCCACAGAGAAGACTGTGTTTAGAATTTTAAATATCTCTCCATATCTGGACGAAGAACTGACAGAACTTAGTAAACCCTAGCATGAATTAAAATTAAAGCTTTAATAAAAATATAAACGTGAATCACGCAGCAAATTCATCGCTTCCTAGAATTTTAAAAATTGTCAACGACTAAGGTAGACTTATTTTTTCCTTAACGTTAGAGATTGAACGCCAAATTGAAGAGAAAAGTGAAACATATAAGCATGATCCCTTGGCGTTGCGTAGAGATGTAGGGTCACTCTGCATGTTCTACCGCATTTACCATGGATATGCAGAGGAGTTGTTCGGATTAAGAGCTGCAGCTGAGATTCATCATCGGACGTCGAGGCAGAAGACGAAATTCCACCCGTATCACCTCGACGTCCGCCGTTCCACAACTGAGCGTTTTTTAAGGCTGTTTTTGACGCGCACCACCACTATGTGGAACTAGCTGCCCACTGAAGTATTTCCGAACCAATTCGACTTAGGGTCCTTCAAGAAAGGAGCGTATCAATTCTTAAAAGGCCGGCAAGTCCCGACTCGCGGGACCTCTGGCATTGAGAGTGTCCATGGGCGGCGGTATCTCTTAACATCAGGCAAGCCTGCCCGTTTGCCCCCTGTTCTATAAAAAAATATGTACCTATGGGAAATACTATTCTTATAATTTCTTATAATTTTTATTTTGTATAAATTTGTATATATTTTACCTGAATTTTGATACTCTTATAGTCTTATTGATGTAGTGATTTGTTAGTACATTTAAATAAGACTGTTAACGTATGAGTTGCGTAATAATATATGTATTTATAATAGTATTTCCCATAGGTACATATTTTTTTAAAGAACAGGGGGCAAACGGGCAGGCTTGCCTGATGTTAAGAGATACCGCCGCCCATGGACACTCTCAATGCAAATTTATACAAAATAAAAATTATAAGAAAAAACATTGTAATAAGAAGCAAAAGTTCCTCATTGATTTGTCCTTACATTTTAAATTTACCGACTGTCGTAGACCAAGGCAATTTATTTAAAACAGCGTAATGCATTCACTTGTGTGACCTCTGGCTATAGGAACCAAAAGATTTTTTATTAAAAATCCTTGTGAATAATAAAAGACGTCCTTAACCAGCAAACAATTGTATAAACAGAAAAATTGGAATTGTAAACGGTCAGAGGTTTGTACCTGCTATGGAGAATAAAAAGGTTCCGTCCATTACACATATAGGTACCTAATATAACTTAAATAATTTATTTATCCATATACTTCTTTGTATGAGGAAAAATCGTTATTGCGAGTAAATTTTATAGGTATCGTTTTGGTATTTAATAAAAATAAAATTAGGAAACACATTTAACTCTGTACTCTTTAATTAATATTTTTATATAGAACCGCCTTTTACTTATTGCTGTTATTGAAGAGTTATTATATGTATATGCAAAAATCTTTATAAGTTCCTAATACTCAAATAATACTATTAAACTTACGAATAAATCTAAAAAATATATTCCATTACATACACTTTTATATTGAGTAAAAACATTTCTTGTAAAATTACCGATTCTTGTATGATTCCGCTTTAGTTACAGCAGTGCCCAGTGACATTAATCAATGTCATATTAATATCCAAATTGGTCATTGGAAGAGCCAATAAAGTCCGATATCAATGATGTCTTTTGTAGAGAGGTCGGATAATATTACTTCAAGGTCTGCTTGACGGTCTGACCTCGGCATATCGGTCGCGGAGGACAGACGGTCGCAAATATTTGCGCGCTTCCAAGGCGTACTGGGCACGAGAGGGGTATTGAGGCGGGAGGGGAAGGGGGGACTGCGGCGAGGGGTGCGGGGAATGGGTGACCTTGCCTCGCGTCTGCACAGAGACCTTGATCTTGAGACGACCGCGCGGACGCCCTCGCAACTTCAACGACACCTATCATTCTCATGCAACGAACTATTTATCCATCATTGTCATTGATAAATGTCTATCGTACTTCTGGATACTAGCACAGGCTCCCGGCTTTAACCATGCAATGACTTTATGTAAGGCAGTATGCACTGACATTGCGATTGTCTGAAGGGTAATAATATTCCGACATTCGTATAACATACAAATTGTTAATGATATTTGTTTTTTCGAATGACGCGTATTTAATAAAAACTTCGATTGTGCGAAGGTATTTAATTATCTCTTTATGAATATTTAAGGACCTGTTGTAAAAAAGTTTTTGGTACCTATCTACGCCTTCGTTTTTTGTCTGCGACGCTAAGGATGATAACGAAGAGTAACTCACATCATTTTTATGATTGAAGGTAGATTGATATATAGAAGGCAATAGTTTTCGTTTCGTAGTTACAAGTTTATTTTAGGCCTTCTTAAACTTCAATATTTTTTATTGTTTCGATCGTGTTAAAAACAGAAGCTATATAAAAATATAAGTAATTTATAATTTTATAATGATGAAAAGAAGTGACAAATAAATTTAATAACATATTATGTGATAATTCTACGTTTGAATCGGATTCACTGTATTTTCAATATAACATTGTGCAAATTAAGTAGTTTGCAAAGGTTAAAACGTGTATAATTAACAATGGTCAGCAACACGTGGAATCGACTAACCTTGTGATAAGCGGCATCCGCCGATAACGTGCGTTGACGCATCATCAAGCATTCAACATAATTTTATAAATAAAATTTATCTGCGATGTTCTGCGGTATTGAACAGTTTATATATATGTTCGATAGTCTGTGAGACGAAAATAGTAAGATGGGAAGACAAAAGCGTTATCATATATTATGTATGTGTTCTTGCACCAGCTGTGGTAACTTGAGGACGAAAACTATACTATAGGCATGTACAAATGTCTCAACCATGTAAACCTGTATATTTAGTTTAGTAATAAGTCTTAGTTCTCTATTTTTCTTTATGATATAGTATTTTAGTTTCAATTATTGTTAAGTTACTATTTCATTAAACCATTGGAAGTGCGGAGTACGCTGATCAGGGGCTCCAATATCTGCTAAAAATGTAACTTGTTATTGAATAAAAAAATTGGTTTTTTTTTTAAATTTGAATAGGCATATAATGAAAGACTAAAGCGATTGCAATCAAACTATGTTGTTTTATGGCAACCTTATCTTGTTCCTATCGTCTCCATGGCTAGTGAGTCGGTATAGTGTAATATCAAAAAATAATAGAACAAACAGAAGACTGAATATAAAAAAAATACTGAAAAACACGGGCGGTTTCGACTTTCGAGACTTTGCACAGATAAGTTACGACTTACGAAATTGTTACTAGATATTTCGAAATTTTCGATGGAGATGTTTGATTTGGTAAAACTCAATTTTCTAACTTTAAACTAGGTAGGCACACATTAGGTAACACATATATTACTCACGTTAAAATTAGTTAGCGATTGTTATAAAGTATATGTGTATTTTTTTCTATTTTGAAGTACCTATGTGTTAACTCTAGCTAGCTGTAAGCTGACTCTTCTATTCTAGCACTGTATACATTATATATATGTATAAGTACTAACAAAACAGGCCAATTCTTATTATATGAGTTAAATTGATTAGCTTGAATGCAAAACTTAATCCTAGTTCTATAATGATGTATTTTTATTAAATTTTGCATAAACTCAAAACTTGGGCTTAAGCCCAGAGATACTATAAGAGCTTATATTATTAATAATATAAGCTGTACTTAATCCATATGTCAACTAAGAAGATATCGTTAGTTGAAGCAAATACAATCATAAAGTTAATTGGTTGCGTAGGCGTCATTCCCGTTTCAGTGGAACGCCATTCTCTGACGATGTTCGCAATCCACGTTTACCGTAAAGCAATAAACTTACACGTGGCCCGTACTTGCATAATACTTTGTATAAAACATTTATATGCAATATGTTTACGATAGATGATAACACTTATTTTCAATAACAAGAAAATATGCATTTTATTTTCTTAGAAAATGAAATCCAGATAGACGCCAGAAAATTGGAAGATTATTTAAGATCTGTTTGATGCATGTCACGCATGTTCTAATTTGATAATCCTCTAGCGTTTCTAGCGTCTACTGAAGTAGGGACCTTACCTGATGAGTGTACATGGCTGTGAAACGAGCTCGGAGTACTATATCATCATATACTTCGTTAATTTTAATAACTAATTTCCCATTCCTTCCATTCCATAATTATAATGCGTGATTAAACTAATTACAGCCGACAAATGCAATGAAACTTAGAATTGCGTATTTATTGCTTATGAATGCATCGCAGACGTAGCGATGGGGCAGGTGGGACGAATCAATGTGACTGGGCCGTGTCCCCTATAGAAGGGGGTGACATTGTACGACCGCTATTTTTTCAACAAACGTTTTATTATGCACTGACGTCAACCTTCGATATACGAGAACCATAAGGTCATTCAAAACCAGAATTATTGTTACCTTTTTAACTACGTAGATACTACATAGGATGACTCATTACAGTCTGCTGCTTCGCTTGAATTAAATATTATACGTATGTTATTAGTTATAAGTACCTAATAAGTATGGTGTTCAAATTGAATAATATTTCTTCGGAATGTTAACTTCTTCTTTCGACCGTTATTTTAGAAGCTGTTTAGATCAATCCTACTACAAAATCTTATAAAATGCGTTAATACTGTGTTTTTCATTAATTATGCCTATATATATATCAGATGTATGGTTTCTTTTGTTCTAAAACAATACAATGTATAGCATAATATAATTGCTTGCGTCAATGAAGGTTACATATAAGGGTTAAGGTAAGAAACGGACTTCGTGAGAAAACAATAACACACAATACATCATCCTAACTATACTGTCCCTACTATAATGAGTAGATATATTGCTTATTTCTTACTTGTGTAGAAAACAATCTGATAAATGCATATTTATTGTATTTTGCTGTTTTGATGACAGTAGTCTATCATTGCCTGAAGTAAATCACTTGTACCTATAAGGGCGTAGTTGCCCTTAATTAGGGTACCTACATATTTTATTTTTACTATTGTTGTGTATTGTAATGCAACGAAGTGTTAAATAACTGAGCGGGTTTATCAACACTAATTAGAACTTGACATGGACATGAGTACATACATAACTTGTACATAAACAATTGATTCAAGTAATTAATCTTCATTTTGGTTAGCCTCGAAGTTCTAGAATAAATTAGAATCTTGCGTGTGTGTCAGTGCAAACTGCAATGCAACGACGTTTTATAATTAGCGATGCAGAAACGAAGTGGCTTCGAAGGAATTAGGTCGGTGCGAAGTGAGGGCGGTCGGAATTCGCGTAACATTACGTCAGCGGGCGTTGACCCTGCGCCGGTCGCTGACCTGCGGCTATCTCTAGCTACGCGTAGCCGCACGCGCACGCGCTTGCCTAGTTCACCCGCCACTTAACGTAACTCCAAAACCCATTTTCGTGAACCAACCTTAGAGGGGTTGTGACTGCTTTAAGCTATTGTGTGTTGTGTAAGAAATGCATATTATCAGCAGTAATTATTCTCACGTTTATTTATTATAAAAGTGACAATATTCAAGGTTAGGCCTACTCATAAGTGATTTTTTTAGTGATTTAAGACTTTAATGTCTTAAAACTTTACTATATAGCCATCTGCGGTGCCACACCTGAGGTGACGCACAATATCTGTGCCAGGATCGGAAGAACACAGTTAAGCAGCATCCTCCTCGGTCCAGCTATTTATGATCTACATAAGCGTTTATAAATGTTATCTTTATCATAAATGCCGTCAATCGCCATAAAATCAATAACATATAAGTCTTATTTAATAATCTAATATTTATCTGAAACAATGTTAGGTTGTAGTTCGCAAAAAAATTGCTGGAATAAGGAAACCAACTGCCAGTTGGCCTTAAAGTTAAGTTGATCATTCAAAATACAAGCTTCAGTTATAAAAGCTTTACTTATAGGCTCTTGACACCGAGAAGATAAAACACCGTTACAAAACATTCTAAAATGCAGCTGTTACATGATATTTTAATTCTAAATTTTAATAGAGCGCAGACTAGCGATAGTTACAAACTTGTCATAGTAGAATCGTGTCAACAGAGTACTGTGGGTTAATGCCCTCGTTGTGCACTTCCCCCCGCACTGAAGGCAGCACATTGTTCAAAACGGGAAATAATACGGTTCATTCTATTTGAGGGCATACATTTCCACAACAGCTCATAGACGCAGGCTTATCGTTTGACCTCAAAACCACTTAAATGAGCTACTAAAACTTTAACATGTTTTGTTCTAATTAGAAGGTTAGAATCCTACATACAGTACCTACTATAATTGGAGTCTAATTAAAATGTATAGGTACCTACCTAAAGTGATTTCGTCATCGCTGCATGTATGACAAATTCACACACTCCGTCTTCATTCTCGTACCATATTAAAATGGAAATTGTCCCATCATACGTTTCTATTAGAGAGTTTTAATTAACAATTTTAATTTGCAACAATCAAAATCTAAGTCAGAGGCTACTATTTCAAATTAAATTTTGTTTTCTACAAAATGCGTTATTAATTAAACCACACTAACTAGACCTTGGATGACTTAGGTTTAATCCCGGCGTAACAATCATTATTACATAATGAATAACACAGTATATCATGTTCTTTTCAAAAAGTTATCGATGGAGTGGACAGAAATGTTTCTGTCCCATGCACACTCAAAAGGTAAAAAGACTTCAAAGAATAAACCACTATTTATTAGGGAAAATGCCACAAAACTAATATAAGAAGAAGTCAATAAGATCTAGAAATATTATTGTAATAACACTGATCTAAAATTCTATTATATGTATTACACGAAGAAAACATAACATAAAGTTGTCATAAATGCATATCTTTTTGAATATAGGATTACCTATTTACAACTTTTTATGTTACTA